CTATGACTGGTGGTGCGATCAGCTCACTTGCAACCTTCCGCCTCCCCAGGTTCAAGCGATTCCTCCCGCCTCAGCCTCCCAAGTAGCAGGGCAATTAACAGGACCCACAGCCCGCCCAGCTAATTGTTTGTATTTTAGAGAAACCAGGGGTTTTACGTATGTTGCCCGGCCTGGTCTCAAAACTCCTGACCTCAAGTGATCCGCCCACCCGTCCGCCCCAAAGTGCTGGGATTACAGAGTGAGCCACCACACCAGGCCAAGTAGACACCAAGGTTTTATTGTGCGGAGGAAACTCTCAGCCGGACTTCAGAGGGAGCAGTTTGGAAAATGTTTCTTAACCGAACTTAAAAAGGTGCCTGCGCTCTTAGTTGATTATCTCCTGGTTGTCGGAAAGAAAGAAAAAGAGGGGGAAAGGGGATCGTCATATAGAATGTGCGAATTTTTCCCACCAAGAACAACCCTCACAGGGCAACCTGCGTCAAGATATGGCCAAGGATAATATATTTGGGGTTAAAATATTTTGATTTCTTCCCTTATTTGTATGTGATGGTTATGACAGAGTCCCCGGTTAGAAGCAGACCTGCTATATAGGATTTTATGGTTTGTGAGGCGCATGACTCCTCAGGTGCCTTAGGTAGGAAATTTTGGGCAAGATAAAAATACAATCCAGAGTTTTATCCTCAAAAGAGTATGAATAAGATTTAATGCCTCAGAAACTTAATTATTGTTCCCAAGACACTCTTTGGCAAGTTTATGTTCAATAATACAGTTGCGGCCCAATACATTAAACAGCTGGTCCTGAAAACTTACTCAGCACTAAGCCATTGCTGAGTAATCCTGATCAAGAAACACTGTATTAAAAAAACCACTGTTCTATCCAGTTCTAATTCAACAAATTGAGAGCTAAATATATGCAAGGGTGGTGGGTTGGGCCTGCAAAGACTAAACAACAAACAGAAAGAACATTCTACCTCAAGTGTTTACAACTGTTATGATTACCTCAGTATTCCTGCTGTGGCCTCTGTGTGTGTGTGTGTGTGATATCATAAGTATTGTGTGTATGTTGCTGTGTTTGGAGGCTATTCTGTTTACAATCTTGGGTCATATTTTTCTTGCCATGATCCAGAACAATCTGGTGTATATATATATATGTGTGTGTATGTGTGTGTGTTTGAGGCTATTCTGTTTACAATCTTGGGTCATATTTTTCTTTGCCATATCCAAGAACAATCTGTAAAACTGCCCGACATATTTTTTAATTAACTCACTTTAAGCATTATTTAAAAATAAGTAATATAAGTATCTCCCTTAGAATCACTGTAATCATTAATGTCCATAAAATCTTGAGGTTTTGTATTTCGCAGAGTATATTAAACACATCTATTTTTAAAAGGGGAGAAAGGAGTGACAAGAGGAAGCTTTATGATTGATTGTTATGTCTACAGTTGGCAGGCATAAATGAAAACTGGGGGATTAAAACCCAGTCCCACAGTGTTCTATCTCTGTACATGCACAGTTCTCAATAGAGTTAGAGTTACAAAAATAAGACAGGATCCCCTCCTAAGAGACCTTATTGTCTTTCTTACCAAGAAGATCAAACATGCTTAAAACATTTAAGTGACAAGCCTAGAAGTGCATTCAACTCGTTTTCTTCCATATATTCATGGAACACAAAACCACTCTTATAAAAGGTCAAAACAGCTTGCTTGCTCCAAACCCTGCCTTCACAGGCATATGCACACATAAGAATTAAGGCATGAAAAACTTTCAAGATAAAAATAACTTTGTGTCTGTTTTGCCTTTGGCTACTGTGTGAAAAGGCAAAAAGAAATTCAAATGTTCATATTGGAAACAAGCATATCATAATGTCATCAGTGTTGAAAGCCAAGTAGAGAATAAAATAATTGATTTTCTTGAGCTAACAGTTGGATCTAACCATTTTTCTGGTCTCTGAAACCAGCTTCAAACATTATTTTTAAGATCTCAGCAGGCCTTGACAAGAATTATCTGGCTCACAGTCTTCTAATAGCTGCTTGGAGGAAAAACAAACTTACGAGGCTAGAGGCCAAGTACAAAGATTCTTGTAGCTGGGGTTTCAACACAACCAAAAAAGGAATGAAGATTTTCACAGCACTTCTTTATAATTCAGAGGCCCAGGTTTTAGGCCTAGAATATTATAGTGTCATACTTCAGTTTCTGGGTCTTCAGTACAGAATGTGATTCAGAAAAGTCAAACTTCTCGTTAATAAGTATCAAGAAAAAAAAAAAA